AGACGGGGTTTCATCATGTTAGCCAGGATGGTCTCGATCTCCTGACCTTGTGATCCGCCCGCCTCAGCCTCCCAAAGTGCTGGGATTACAGGCCTGAGCTACCGTGCCCGGCCCAATTTCTTGTCTTTTTGTAAAACTCAATTGAAAGTATTCCATCTTGACATTCTGACAGTTCTGATGCTGTGCAAGCGTGCGGGCTTCATTCAACTCTGCTGTCGGACGTGGCCACATCCTCCTTCAAAGGAAGGAGGGTACAGCAGGCCAAGATGCTCGGCAGCCTTTCCTTTCCAGTCCTCTTTTGCAATTACGTAAATTCCTTTAATTTTTAAAAAATTCAGTTTATTGGCCGGGTGCGGTGGCTCACACCTGTAATCCCAGCACTTTGGGAGGCAGAGGCGGGCAGATCACGAGGTCAGGATATCGAGACCATCCTGGCGAACACGGTGAAACCCCGTCTCTACTGAAAATACAAAAAAATTAGCTGGGCGTCATGGTGGGCGCCTGTAGTCCCAGCTTCTAGAGAGGCTGAGGCAGGAGAATGGTGTGAACCCAGGAGGCGGTGGACTTGCAGTGGGCAGAGATGGCACCAATACACTCCAGCCTGGGTGACAGAGCGAGACTCCGTCTCAAAAAAAAAAAAAAAAATTCAGTTTATTGAGAGATGACATATATGGTTAAATGCACCCATGTGAAGTGTAGAGTTCAATGAGTTTTGACAAACATAATGTCAAGCCACAATTAAGATACAGAATATTCTCATTATGCCCAGAAAGTTCCCTTGCACCCATTGGTAGAGTCTTTCTTTCCACACCCAACCTCAGACGACCACAGACATGCTTTCTGTCCCTACGGATTAGTTTAGCTTCCAGAACTGCAAATAAATGAAATCGTATGGCACATACTTCATTGTGTTTGGTCTCTTTCCCTGTATTTGAGATCCATAGATACTGTTGTGTGTATTAATAGTCATTCATTTTTATTTTTACTGCTGTGTGGCACTCCACTGCTACAAACATACCAAATATCCATTTCATTCTTGATGCAAGTCAGGGTTATTTTCAGTTTACTGATACTATAAATAAAGTAGTAACAGTCTTTGCGTGGACAGAGGTTTTTGTTTCTCTTGGGGAAATAAGAGTCGAATTGTTTGGTCACATGGAAGTGTTCGTCTACTTATAAGAAACTGCCAAACTTGTTTTCCAAAACAAGGGTACCACTTTACATTCCTTTTTTTGGCAGAGTCTCATTCTGTCCCCTGGGCTGGAGTACAGTGGAACGATCTCTGCTCACTGCAGCCTCCGCCTCTAGGGTTCAAGTGATCCTCCCAGATTCCAGTGATTCTCCTGCCTCAGTTTCCCGAGTAGCTGAGACTATAGGCGCTCACCACGTCTGGCTAATTTTTCTGTTTGTACCAGAGACGGGTTTTGCCATGTTGGCCAGGCTGGTCTCAAACTCTGAACCTCAAGCAATCTGCCCACCTCGGCCTCCCAAAGTGCGGGGATCACAGGCGTGAGCTACTGCATCCGGCCCCATTTTACATTCCTGTCAACAACATGCGTGCATTTCAACTGCTCCATATCCTTATGAACAATGAAGACTGTCTCTTTTTCATTTTAACCATTCCAGGAAGTATGTTCAATAGCTCATTACGGGTGAATTTGCATGTCCCTGATGAATAATGATATACCCTGTGTGTGCTTAATGCCCACTCATATACCTTCTGGGAAATGCATGTTTAAATCTTTCACCCACCGTTTTACTGGGCTGTTTTCTTATTATTGAATTCTAAGAGTTCTTTATATGTTCTAGATACAAGTCCTTGCAGTACATATAAACGACAATATATATGTACTGCATATATATATATATACACACACACACACACACATACTGTCCTATATATGTACTGCAAGTATTTTCAGAGGGTGTGGCTTGCCTTTTTCTTTTCTCAATCTGGTCTTTCAAAGAAAGAGAGTCTTAAATTTTGATGAGATCCCATTTGTCAACTTTCTCTTTTGTGGCTCATGCTTTTTGTGTCCCAAGAAATCTCTGCATACTCAAGGCCACAAAGATTTTTACCTGTATTTTCTCCTAGAAGTTTTATGGTTTTAGTTTTTATGATTTCAAATAATTTTTTGCATATGATGCAAGGGTTAATGTTCACCATTTTCCTATGAATACTCTGTTGCCAGAACCACCTGTAGATAAGACAATTCCTCTCCCTTGAATCATCCTGGTACCTCTGTTGGAAATCAATGAACCAAAAGTTTGTGGTTCACTTTCCAGGCTCCATTCCATCCCACTGGCCTGCGTGCCAGTCCTCCTACCAGCACCACACTCTCATCGCTGTAGCTGCACGGTGTCTTACTACTGGGGTGAGTAACTTACACTGTTCCACCCATTACCGAGAGGACCTTGGTCTAGCGGTAGCATCAGTGCCTAGAAAAGGCATCCGTTACTTAGCAGACTGGGAAAGGGAGTCTCCCCTTCCCCGGGGGAGTTAGAGAAGACTCTGCTCCACCACCTCTTGTGGAACCACCTGCAGTTATCCGGAGGCCTGACCGTCTCTCTCTGATGCTGTGTGTCAGTGGTCATGCTCCTGGTCTACTTTCATGTTCCACCCTGTACACCTGGCTCTGCCTTTTAAACAGCAGTAGCAGAATTAGTGAAAGTACTAAAAGTCTTTGAAATGCAGAAGTAATGGTGTAAGCTGTCTCCTCTCTCTCTCTCTGCCTCGGCCGCCAAACAGGGAAGGGCCCCCTGTCCAGTGGACATGTGACTCACGTGACCTTATCTATCACTGGAGATGGCTCACATGCCTTACCCTGCCCCCTGGTATTGTATCCAATAAATAACAGCGCAGCCTGGCATTCGGGGCCACTACTGGTCTCTGCACCTTGGTGGTAGTTGTCCCCCGGGCCCAGCTGTCTTTTCTTCTCTTTGTCTTGCGTCTTTATTTCTACGATCTCATCTCCACGCACGAGGAGAAAAACCCACAGACCCTGTAGGGCTGGTCCCTACAACCCTTTTGCCAGGCTCTCTGGATACACTGTGCATGTGTAGTTTAGTGGTCGGCCTGGGATTTGGGCAGTTCCTACTCAGATTCGGGCCTTGCCCCTTGGTAGTTTGCTTCTGGGATTTTCCTGTTAAATTTCCAGTATTCTTCAAGTCCTGGACTATCTCCTCTACCACCTCAGGATAGTAAAGCCTATGTCTCATACCACTGTAGTGTGGAGATTATGAAAAACCCTCAGGTAAGAAAGCCACAGGCTCCCAGTTCAAATCCACTGTAGCTGTTGCTTTATAGGAGCAAACTCTCCTCCAGCTCTGGCCTGCTTTTGGATACTCTGTAGTCCTTTTAAATAATTTTCTGTCCAAATTTTATATTTATCTATGGGACGGTTTGTGCAACCACGGTTACCAGAAGTTTTGGCTAAAGCCTTGTAAATATCATTTCTTTCTCCTTCGCAGGAGTATATCTTGCTTCTTGAGTGGCTGCAGCGAGCAGCTGCTCACACGTGCTCTGGCTGCCTAGTGCAGCCACCCTGCTTCACCTTTAAAAGCGGGTCTGCGTGCTCCAGATACCAGCCGGCAACCGCATGGCCTGCTTCATGGTATGCCACGGTCTTCTTCTCCTCAGGCTGCAGAACCTGCGTTTTCTTCTCTAAGCCTAACAAAATAAGAACAAAAAAACCCAAGCCACTGTCTTAGTGACACTGACATTAAAAGACAGTTATACAGTGCTATACATTGCCTTACCTAAAATGGGGTTTGGAGATATAAGTCCTTGCAGTACATATAAAGGACAATATTTTTTTTATATATATATATGCAGTACACATATATTGTCCTTTATATGTACTGCAAGTATTTTCAGAGGGTGTGGCTTGCCTTTTTATTTTCTTAACTGTCTTTCAAAGAAAGAGAGTCTGCCTGTCACAATCCAAAAATTCCTAATGAAGGCCAGGCGCAGTGGCTCATGCCTGTAATCCCAGCACTTTGGGAGGCCGAGGTGGGCCGATCACTTGAGGTGAGGAGTTTGAGACCAGCCTAGCCAACACGGTGAAACCCCGTCTCTACTAAATATACAAAATTAGCCAGGCGTGGTGGTGAGCACCTGTACTTCCAGCTACTAGGGAGGCTGGGGCAGGAGAATCATTTGAACCCAGGTGGCGGAGGTTGCAGTGAACTGAGATCATGCCACTGTACTCCAGCCTGGGCTACAGAATGAGACTCTGTCTCAAAAAAAAAAAAAAAAAAAAAAAAGTTAAAATTAAAAAAAAAAAAATCATATAGAATTCCCAATGTCAGAATAAAAGCAAAAGGTCAAGTTCAAAATACAACTACAGCAAAAATGCACTCACTCCCCCATCCCCAGGCCTGCTTTCTCACTTTTAAGCCACACACCCTGTGTTTTGGGAAACAAATTGAAATGTAAAATAAAATTCAGCATTGAGGTCATTTTAAAACACGCAAAATTACAGAAACCAAAACTCCGGAAAGGTCCTCAGTGCATAGTCTAGGTGTTCAGAATGATCAAATACCGGGCATATGAAGATGCCTGCCATAAGACACTACTTGTTGTCCATTCTGCTGGAAGGCAGAAGAGTCTGAGAAAGCAGGGAGCTAGTTCAAGACGCGGAGCTACCCCACATGGAGCCAGCCAGGCTGATGCTGGCGCACCCTCACCTAGCCAGCCGGCCCTGGGGCGCAGACCGAGCCACAGAAGTGGCAGAGCAGACCCAGAGGGCAAACCTCAGAGACACAGGGCCCACAAGACCCGTGCTGGAGCCCACGTCCACCACAGTGCTGGCCGGACTCCAGTCTGAGTAGGATTCTTCTCTGGCCTGGATCAAGGTGGGCTCTGCCCCTTACTCCGTACCTCTGTGCTGTAAAAACTACCTGCACTATTTGTACTAAACAAATCATCACACAGTGGCAAAAGTAGTTTTGCCGTGTTCATGGTAATCCACCTGAGAGAATTTCTCAGCGGATGTTAAGGAAAGTGGAAGACAAAAACAAAAGCTGTGTTCCCAATGACACAACTCAAGAGAAACACATGCCACAGGGCAGGGAGTTACAAAACAGGAGTTAAGTCTGCCTGCTGATGAACACTTCTGGCTTATCTGTAAGAACAGAAGCCTTTCCCCACAGTTCACCTCAGGAGTCATTCATTTTCTCAGTGCCTATCTCACTACACAACGCTGCCTGCGGGGCCAGCAACTGCCTCAGAGCCAAACCTGCGACTGGGTGGCTGCCTGCTCTGCCCCGCCCTCTCTGATCATTCTCCTTAACCTAAAAAAAGGCATACACAGTTTTCACCTGTCTCTACAGTGAATTATTATATTTTGCTTCATTCCATTCACGACTCTTATCATCTGAGGTTCTTCTTTTCAATAACAAATTCATAAAATAAGAGGTCTGGTGATTCATTCATTCAATCATTGTTTACTGAGCACCTATCCCCGGCGAACCACATTGCTCTACCAGCCTCCACGTCCTCACTGGAAGTCCCACTAGTCTGGTTTTGTACCCTCTACTCAGCTGAACTGTCAAAAGTCGCCCTAACACCCTCACTGCCACATCCAAAGTTCCTCTTCCTCCTCCACACCCCTGTGCCTTGCCCTGCTGCTGGCGCCTCATCTCCTGTCCCCTCCAGCCTACAGGTCCCTGTTGCTGGCACATCTTCCTCGCTTGTCTGCTGACGCACCTTCAGTGCTTATGGTACACCATGAGCACTTGTGACCTTGCTGACACACCTCTCCCCTCGTACCAAATGTGGGCACTGGGTAACATTTCCTCTGCAACTCCCTCTCTCCCAGGAAAGTGGCTCCAAGTACCCCAGTCGCCCACCTCACTCCACCTGGCACACCCTGGGACCCTGCCCCGGCTCACAGGCAGGACTGCTCATTCTCTACAAGCCAGCTGCCTCTGCGAGTGCCCCACGCTCCTGCAGTCTCTCAAGTCTGTCCTCATTTCTTTTACGGCTGTCACTGGTGCTCCCCCATGCTAAGCTGTGGGCTCACGGTACTCAGAGTAATGACTGCAAGGTTCTCTGCCTCTAGATGCTTCCCTCCTCTTCAAAGCCAGATTCATTCTCCTAAAATATCACTGGTCATTATGTTACTTAGAGGCTCACACCTGTAATCCCAGCACTTTGGGAGGCCGAGGCAGGCAGATCACCTGAGGTCAGGAGATCGAGACCAGTCTGGCCAACATGGTGAAACCCCATCTCTACTAAAAATACAAAAATCAGCCAGGCATGGTGGTGGGCGCCTGTAATAGCAGCTACTTGGGAGGCTGTTCATTTGAACCCTGGAGGCAGAGGTTGCAGTGAGCCGAGATTGTGCCACTGCATCCCAGCCTGGGTGACAGAATGAGAACCTGCTTCAAAAAAACAAAAAACGAAACAAAACCAAAAAAACCCACCTTAATTCAATACTGGCCATAGGACAAAACTGTAAAAGCCTCTGAGTTTAACATTCAAGGCTTTCCAAAACTGACCAGTTTACTCTCCCTCCCTACACACAGGGTAGGTAGCCTGCCTCAAGTCCATTCTGCCAGGTCACTTCCAGGCCACACCCCGTTATATCCTGGGCCAGGGGCACACCCCTCCTCTTCTGTGGAACTCTGCCTGGCGCAGGGCTTCCCCCTCCTTTGAATGCCCAAGGACTTGAATTGCTACTTGCCTTTGGGGATTAAATCAGAAGCCCTATGGAATGTTAAGAAAACACGTGCTCCCCCTGTGCTGGCTGAGGAAGCACTTCCAGCTCCACGCCTGTTAGTTATTTTATCATTATTATTATTATTTATTTATTTTTTTTGAGATGGAGTCTCACTCTGTTGCCCAGGCTGGAGTGCAGTGGTGCGATCTCGGCTCACCACCACCTCTGCCTCCCCGGTTCAAGCAATTCTCCTGCCTCAGCCTCCCAAGCAGCTGGGACTTCCAAGTACGCACTACCACCCGTACTTGTATTTTTAATAGAGATGGGGTTTCACTATGTTGGCCAGTCTGGTCTCAAACTCCCGACCTCGTGATCTGCCCACCTCGGCCTCCCAAAGTGCTGGGATTACAGGCGTGAGCCACCGTGCCAGGCTGTTACAGATATTTTACAACCATCACCTGTATCTAGCACAGAGCACCTCTAACTCATGTGATGAAACTTTTGTAAACAGGAAGGCTGTGAGCTTTTTAACAAACTTGATTGGTATAATTCACGGGTAGACACCTCACTGCTGGCTGCCTGTGCAAGCAAAGCATTTGTGAGCTGCCATCTCAAACTCACCCAGCACCACAGACCTCCATGCAGAGGGCAGGTGGCAGGGGATGGTGGGGAAAGAAGGAAGAGAGGCAGGGGAGGCATGGGAGGGGCCATGACACCAAGAGAACACAAGTATGGTGAGCCCCAGGGCTGGGTGGATACACTTTCTTGGCTTTCAGTTCTTGCCCAAACAGAGAAATCCCTGGCCTCAAATTCATTTTATCAGCCTTTCTACTTGAGTTATGTTCAGTTTCCTTACCACCAATCACTCGCTCAATTGCCTGTTCAAAGTGTTTCTGATTTATGGAATCTGACAGGTGCCTCGCAGCAATCAACGCAGCTTCATTACAGACATTAGCAACATCAGCACCTAAAAAATGAACATAGAACAGCTTACCCACCGAAATACGCCTAAACTGATCAGTCAAATCCATAGTTAATTTTTTAATCAGCAGTACAATGAATAAAGGTTTTGTGTAAATAGAATTCTGTTTGACTTACGATAACCCTAAGCTATTCCAGCATTTAATGTAAGCCTGGTATAATTCTGGCCCTCTGAACTAAGATGAAAGTATTAGTAGTCAACAGATAATTACAGGCAACTATTTACCTTAATAGACAATATGGCTCACATAATAGCAAACTAAGATAGCATCTAAAAATGCTCATTTAAATAACTTAGTTCTATCACCTGTGTTGGGAAAACGGCTTGCATAGATATTAGGTGAAGTACTGAGGTATGATGAGAAACCTAGTTTTTATAATCACCTAGTACATTCAATGAAACAACTAAATTTAAATATAGCTAAAAGCTTGTCAAATGCTTTTTAGATTCATCTCTTTAACTTTGCAGCTAAGGATATGGTAGCACAAATAAGCTACAGCACACCATGTGTGTTAAATAAACAAATATTAAAACATTATAAATTTCAAAGACAAGTAAAAAGGTAAGACCCCTCGATCAAGATGATCATCTTCTGACCACACTATTGTATATAATCTTTTCATACTTCTCAAACTGTTCTATTTCATTTTGTGTTTAGAAGGAGAGAAATAGGGAATAGGAAAGGACCATATTTTACATTAAAAAATTATTGGAATAAGCACATGAAAAGATGCTCAACATCACCAGTCATTAGAGAAACGCAAATCAAAACAGCAGTGAGATGCCAAATCACACCAGTTAAGATGGCTGTAATAAAAAAAGACAGTGACAAGTGCTGACAAGGATGTGGAGGAAGTGGGACCCTCACACGTTACTGGTGGGAATGTAAAATGGCACAGGTAATTAAAACAACCTGGCGGTTCCTCCAAAAGTTAGAGATACAATATGACCCAGCAATTCCACTTCTACGTATTTGCCAAGAGAAATAACATGACCACGAAAAATCTGTACACCAATGTTCATGGCAGCATTATTCATAATAGCCAAAAACTGGAAACAGCCCACGTGGCCATCAACTGATGGGTGGATCAACAAGATGTGGAATAGCCAAACAACGGCACATTTACTTGGTCACGAACAGGAATGACGTTCTGATGCCTGCCACGATTTGGATCAGTCCTGTTCATTATGTTAAGTGAACATAAGCTAGGCACAGAAGACCACGTTTTTATTTTATTTTATTTCACTGGAGACAGAGTTTCGCTCTTGTCGCCCAGGCTGGAGTGCAATGGCGCAATCTCGGCTCACTGCAACCTCCACCTCCCGGGTTCAAGCAATTCTCCTGCTTCAGCCTCCCAAGTAGCTGGGATTACAAGCCCCCATCCCAACCACACCCAGCTAATTTTTGTATTTTTAGTAGAGACAGGGTTTCGCCTTATTAGCCAGGCTGATCTTGAATCCCTGATGTCAGGTGATCCACCTGCCTCGGCATCCCAAAGTGCTGGGATTACAGGTGTGAGCCACTGCACCTGGCCAAAACCACAGGTTTTTATATAAAATGTACAGAATAAAAAAATCTAGAGAGACAGAAAGTTTGATTGATTGTTTTCAGATGAAGTCTCGCTCTGTTACCCGGGCTGGAGTGCAGTGGGGTGATTTAGGCTCACTGCAACCTCACCTCCTGGGTTCAAGCCATTCTGCTGCCTCAGCCTCCTGAGGAGCTGGGATTACAGACATGTGCCACCATGCCTGGCTAATTTTTGTATTTTTAGTAGAGACAGGGTTTTGCCATGTTGGCCAGGCTGGTCTCG